ATATGAATGTAGCACCACATCATCTTCGGAATGGATGAATTTGCAGTCGTCACCAAATTTGCAGCGATCTTTCCCTTTGCCAAACCAATAGCAGAAACCCTTCTTCCTCTTCTCCAAGCGCTCTGCCTCATACCGGTCCATAGGGCGACTGTGCTCTACATGAACATTGCCATGTACCTGGGGACTGCTCCCTTCACCCGACGTGCTATCAGTATTTGGTGCTTGGAGTACAGCTGGAAAACCTGGCCTTGGTCCTACCACCTTCATGATCGGTTTTCCGCCAACTCCTGAGCCATGCTGAGACGATCCAAAAACATTGAACATCTTCATGAAGGCCTTCCTAGCGCCAATCTTCTGCACCCTTTTGATTGGACGTTTCATTGCTCCAACCTTGCATCCAGATGCATTCAAACGACGCAACCTTCTAAACCCAACTCTATGTCCCTTCTTCCAAAGAGCCATAAGAATTTTAGAGGCAGTGACATTCTCCACCTCTACCTTTTCCAATGATCCCTCACTTCCCGGAACAAACCCATCCATCTCTGAAGACCTTTCCATCTTTTTTGACACCACTTCGTCGAGGTAGTCTTCTGAAATCCAGGGAAAGTTCCCCTTAGAGGAAGGATTGTCATCATTGTTTGGTCCTTCACCAGGATATCCTTTGGTGCTGTCAAAGATCTTACCAGTAGTGCGGTCCTGCATAGAGAAATTCGAAGCCACGCGGGAGTACACTGACCACAAGAAAATCCTTGTGTCCGCCAGTCTGGATGACCCACTGGATTTCTCCTCTTCCGGAGAAACTTCTGGCGCTTTGCCCTTCCCTCCAGTGTCACCGCTTGTCTCACCTCATCTTCAACGGGAATAAGGGATTCATTGTTCCCTTGATCAAGCACCGCATCCTCTAGTCCAAGAACTTCCAGCATCGCTGTCGAAGGATCCACCTCCTCATCCGCATCGTCGTCCATCCTTCTCCAGAGAGCCTCCAATTGGTCCGCTGGAGATTCGGAGGATGGAGAGAAAAAGTTGTGTGTTACGACTGAGGAGGTCTCTTCGTTTGGTGCCAAGAATTCTGCCATTCAAAGGGAAAAAGAAGCTTCTGGAATAGCTGGAGACACGGATGATCTGAAAAATGAGGCCTGGAGCGCCAATGATGCGCGGGTTGATGCGGCAGATATTACCTGGAGTGCGAAGGAAGCACGGGTTGAGGTGCATGTGGTGGTACGTTCCACGGGCGACTGCAACAATGGGGCGCAGGTCTCCGCAGCAGCTGATGATGGAGGTTCACAGGTGGACGCACTGGTGCAACCTGAAGTTAGCAGCGAGGAACGAAATGACAAGGGCTACACCGGAGCCAATGAGGCAGCTGTAGTCAATGATGGTGGAAATTCTCCTTTGGAGGCCATGGAACCAAAGGAGCCTGCGGTGGAAGAAAGCGTGCCTGCCGTGGATGATCGACTCAATTGCCCTGCAGTGGAAGAAGATTTGCCTGCTGCAGAAGGTGAGACAAAGGACTCCAATGATGGGTCCACTCCCATGAAGGGAGAAGCGTTGCCGTCTGGAAGTTCACCGGAAGTCGACACCGAGCGAACTACAGCAGATGAGGCAAAGCCGTTGGCGGAGAAAAAGGGAGGTCCTGAAATCCAGGAGCACAAAAAAGATGAGCTTGTGGGACTCGTGGAGCAGGACGAGCAGTGTGACCCAAAGGTGAAGACAAAGGATGCGCCAGGAGCCGATGATACAGAGATGGTTTCTGAAGAGCGTGTAAAGAAAGTGCCCCGAGCGGGAGCCTTGGAGTCACCTGGGCCACATTGCTATCAAGAGGGAGATGAGCTCATGGGTCTAGTGCGCTGCATCAATGGGTATGGAGCCTTTTTGGACCATGGGGATATGAATGTATTGATTCCTGCAGAAGGGAACAATGCATATCAGTTCAAGTTTGGTGATACTGTCAATGGAACAGTGAAACGAGTGGAAGATGATGGTACCATAATCTTGGACACCTTTCTGGTTTTAGAAGAGGACGTGGACCACCTTCCTGAACAACAGGTACCACATCCACCACTCGCTCTTCTGCAGCCGACACAGTTCCGATCACCTCATTGGGCATTTTCTCTTCTGGATCCACCAATTCCATCGCTGCCCCACCCTCAGAAAGCGCTTCTGTTTCTTCCCGATCCAGGTGTTGAGCTCCAGCGATGTTGGCTTGGTTCCCAGGAATCCCTTCCTCATCAGGAGAACCCGAGGTCGGGGCGTCACCATCAGCCCTAGGACCGCTATCCCTGATAGTAGAGGAAAAATCTTTTTCACCTAAACTATTTACACTACCCTGGAATGCCCTCGTAGACTCAGTCTTCGGAGTAGAGGATGAAGAATCCAGTGCCGCCTCCATTTCCAGCTCATTGCCCGAAGGAGACCCAACCACCTCGTCACTCTTCACCTTTTCACCTACCACCGGCAATGTCCACTTGGTTTCGTGCGTATCCAGGCAGTAATAATATTGTCTCCCATCTTCATGGAGGTGCAATTCCCACATTGTGCCATCACACGCTTGGATCAGATGCTCGTCTTTCCGAAAACCGTCCCTTTCAGAAACCTGTCGCATCTCGTCCTCTTCTTCTGACAGCTGTCGCAACCGTTCAGCCTCCATCTGTAGGATCTCCTCCTCCCCCATGGCGTATTCAGCAGCAGGTGCAGCTTCAAAGCCGTCCGCACCCTTCTGTTTGTGACCGCTTCCACCACCTTGGGAACTCGAAGATGGACCCTTTTTGATCTTGTTCAACGGCCTCCTGGTCGCTTGTAGCACTTCTCCAATCAGATCGGTCTGAGACTCTTGGTCTACCATTCGACCCGAAGTCGAAGACGACGGCTGGTACCCGTGTTTGTGTAACACTCGTAAAACAGTCACCTCCATTTCACGATCTATGCCACCAGTCGCATCCCAGTTCCTTTTTTCACCAGGCTTTGGCGGTACAGAAACAGCACGTCCTTCAGCTTCAGCATTGCTAACCATATCCCTATTGGGATTCATACCCACATTGGGGCTTTCTGCAACCAAGGCCTCTTCCAGATGTTCTTCAGCGTCGGGAATCACCTCTTCCAACACCGCTCTTTCACCCAGAGACTCAGCTGCACCATTTCCAGCTCCACCATCTTGTCCACCATCCGAGGCAAGTTGGAGCCATCGCTTCGGAGAAGGCATTGCTTCTTGATCCCAAAACCTTGAAAGAACACTTAACCGCAGGGAACCTAATTTGGGCTCATAACCTACGGGGGGACAACCAAGGAAGGAAATCAACTCCCCTAATCGCCCTGAACTTATATTTCCCAGATCGAACCAAGAAACAACCAAGAACACGGATAAGAGCAACCCAGGGGGGAAGGAAAGGGGGAAGGAATCCACACCCTTACCAAACCCTAAGAACCCAGGCACTACTTTTTGAACTTGTGGCTTTCTGTTCAAGCCCATCTTGAGCCAAATACGATTACCGGGTTCATTAACCCTTCCAACTTCCAACACTAACTCCTTTCTACAATACCAATTGCAGCTCCGCATAGGGTTTAGGGTTTAGGGTTTAGGTTTAGGGTTTAGGGTTTAGGGTTTAGGGTTTATAATAGGGTTTAGGGTTTAGGGTTTAGGGTTTAGGGTTTAGGGTTTAGGGTTAGCGCCCAAACCGGCCCTCGCCTTAAAGGTCACGATGCACATTTTTCATCAAACTCAAACCCAAAGCACCAAACCCTAAACCTTGAAACCATAAGTGGAAACTTGAAACCCTAAACCTTAGGGTCTATAGGGTTTAGGCTTTAGGCCTAGGTTAAGGGTTTAGGGTTTAAGTTTTAGGAGTTTAGGGTTTAGGGTTTAGGGTTTAGGGTTAACGGTTTAGGGTTTAAGCTTAGGGAGGTTTAGGCCTAAACTTAAACCCTAAACCCCAGACCCTAAACCCTAAACCCTAAAAAGTAGCTTTGTGAGGACGTATACTCCTTAATCAAAGGGGGACTGGAGTGCCTGGGTCTTGGGAAGCTAAAGGGTTTGGGGTTGGTTGTTTCGGTGTTCGCCCATTTCATAGCTTTCGTCAGCCCTCGTGAGTGTCAGCTCAGGGTTTAACCCAGGTTTAGGGTTTAGAGTTCAGGATTTGGCATTTGTAAGGCTTTGGGGTTCAGCCTAGGGTTCGGGGTTTTAGGTTGAGTCGTCCTGATTTCCACTGGGCCCATAAGCCTCTTGCTCTTTAGGGGTCACTCTTAAGGCTTACGGTTCGGGGTTTCTGGACTGCGAGGTGGAGATACGATTCCGACGTGCTCTGCCATGGATGCTCCAGGCCCGGTCGAATGCAGCCGTCTGCATTGCTTTGGAGTGTGAGCTGAGCACCCAAAAAATTTTAATACACATTTTTTTTAACAATTTTTAACTGTTAAAAATTGTCGGTTTTCCAAAGGATTTCCTTTTAAACGACGTTTTTTTTAATAGTTAAAAAATGTTAAAAAAATGGCTGTTAAAAATTTTTGGTTGAGAGCTCGGCAGGTTTGGTCTGCCTTCGGCAAGATGGTCTGAGGCGCTGGAGCTGGGCAAGAAAGTGAGTACTCCCAAGGCCAAGGCTGCGCCAAAGAAAACGGCAGCGAAGACCAAGGCGAACATGTCCAAGCTAGCGAGGGCTGCAAAAGCCAAGGTAGAGAAGAACTCACCGCGACCCCAGAAGAAAGGCCCAAAGGCCGAGATCGATGAGACAGATGCGCAGACTTCGGAAAGCACCAAAGGCCTAGGATACCCAAGAGGCACGATCAGTGCCTTGATTACTTCGCTGAAATACCAAGCGAAGGCGAAGAAGGTGACGGAGGATCAGAGGGCTGATTGCATGAAGACTTTGAGCGATACTGTACTGCATTAAGAGTTACGTGCTTTTGTAGACTTGCTGATTTTTATTCAGTATGAGATGTTTTTTTGTCCATATGAGTAGCTGCGGGATACATGCTTGTGTGCTGCCGGCCATAAAGCCTGCAGTTCATTTATGCTTTCCGGGTTGCTTGGGAACGTCTATTTTGCCAAGGAGTACCAGTCGGGCGACCTCGCTACCCAGCGATCCATCCTGAACAACCTCTCCAAGTTCGGTGTCCAGAACTGCAGCTGGGTGCACGCTCTTCAAAAAACCACGACCAACACAGAGGTGGAGGCTGAGCGATTGCGAACCAACTTCTTGACCCGGATGCTGGGGCGCAGTGAGATGTTCGTACCTTGTGCTTTGCTGCAGTGTTCGTTTTGAAGTTTTTTTTTCGACAAGACTCTGAGGAAAGCAATCTTCAAGCTGCAGGGTGTGGAGCACAAAGACTTGTCGGAGGAGGAGCAAGCTGAGGTGTTGGAAGAGCTGCTCACGGCCCAGGAGAAACTCTTCGGCTACGAGCGGCACGTGGAACGACATGGGAAGTTCCGAGTGTTGGATCGCTTCTTGTTCAAGTGGTCCGAGGGTCAGACGCTTGACACCGCCACGACCAGCCAAACCCAGAGTGTTTCGACTGCCACAAACTTGAAGAAAACGGGCTCTGCAAGGGCCGTGGAGATGATGAAGCATGGTGGCTCGCTCACTGAGGGCGATGAGGATGGCGAGCCGAGCACAGCGAAGCCCAGCGAGAGCTTTGGCCTCTTGAAGGAGAAGCGAAGGGAGTTGGAGTCCTTTCGTACGAGATTGAGCAAGACGAGCGAGGACTTGCTTTTCGTCCTGACACAGGTCCGCAGCTTGGAGGACTCCTCATGGGCCAAGAAGGAAAGCGAGCTGCAGAAAGCCTGCACTGCTTTGGACGGTTTTCTTCAGAAGATTCGCTCTGCCCTTGCTGAGAAGCTCCCGCAAAACGTTGCCGACGACTACACAACCCCAGATTGGCGACTTGGCCAAGGTGCTGGAGGAGGCCACTCTACACGAGAAGGCTTCCAAGCAAGTTTTGAAGACGGCTAGAGCACTGCTGCTGTAAGCTGTCTCTTGTGTGCACTCCAGGTTGAAAGGATCGTAAGCATCCTTTCAGGATTCGTTGCTGCTAGCACCCGCCGCGGCACTCAAAAAGAAAGCATTAGGGTTCTGCATGCGACTGCATCTGTGTGTAGCAAGCTTCTGCAAGTTGCCCTTGCTTACCTCTTGCATGCCGCCAGTCGAAGCTCCAGAGGTGTACTTTGCTTGAAAGGACTACTAGGACGGATCGGAGTGACTGCTGCAAAATTTGTTAACACAGGGGCATTTGTTTCGTACTGTCTAGAATATATGTGTTGCAGAGCTAGATGCTTGCATGCACGTCGTACTTGACATAATTGTTTTGTTCGTTCAGCGACGGAGCTCATGCATGCCGGCCTGTTTTTTTCCTTTTGCCTTTTCTTCTTTGCAGGAGATTTGTCCATGTACCTGAAGCGAACACTGGCTTCTACAGATGACATTCCGGAGAAGAAGCGGTTCAGGGCTGATATTTTGGACTTGACCATCAGCTCAGATATTTCTGGACAGCGGGCCGCCAGGCTCATTCACCGTGCGAAATTAGCCAACACAGAGAATATCGACGACTTAGCAAAGGTTCCTGTGGGCAAAAACTCTGCGAGGGATCTGTTGAGGCGATGTTTCCGCAATTCGAAATGGCCAGATGTTTATACATTGGAGGTTCCGGCTTGGAACCCTGGCAAGAACGTGCCCCAGAATATGAAGCTGCACATGCTGCTACCGCATGAATTGATGCTTGCTGTGCTGAAAGTGAATAGCATGGACGGTCTCTTGCGACGGCAGCAGCTGGCATTGGCCCATCGGCCCGACTTAAGCAGACACCTTGGCCAGGCCTCTGCCCAGCTCGGCATTGATGCTACGAAGACTTTGATTGCTGGACTTTGGGTGGACTCTGTCCCGTTTAACAGCGACAGAACACACAGCCTGGAGGTCTTCACATTCAGTTTGATTGGAGAGGGGCCGATGAGGTTTCCGATTTGTTGCTTCCCCAAAGCCTTTTTGAAAAAGCACTCCACCCACGATGCGATACTCGCCGTTTTGGCTTGGTCCTTTCGGGCAACCTTATGTGGAGTGTGCCCGTCTATGCGACACGATGCAACTGCTTGGCGAGCGACAGACAAGCATCGACGACGGCTGCAGGGAAAATCTGCCCCGATCATGATACTGGGAGAACTCCGTGGCGATTGGTCCATGTATAAAGACCTTCTCGAGTTCCCATCATGGGCAGCTGCTGGCCCGATATGTTGGCGGTGCGACTGTACAAGGGCCCAGCTGAAGGACTTTACCCTCGCATCGCTGAGGAGGCTTCCATGCATGCATGTCTGAAGAATACATACAAATATAGCAGGCCTTACTTTTCTCACGAGTCTGGAGTCAACAATGCCACCCTAATTTCACCTTAAAATAGGAGGTCTTTGTGTTTTTTCTTTTTGTTTCATCGCACTTTTGACTCCTCAGGCGGAGGGAGTTGACCTCCATGGACTTCTTGATGCGACAACATGCAGCGGACAAATTCATTTCGCAGATTTTCAGCATCCCTCTTTTCGGTTCAGAGAATTGCAAGTTCGACTTCCTTCACTGCGTGGACCTGGGAATAACCTGTGACTTTATTGGATCGATGTTCTACTACCTGCAGGAGTTTGTTTTGCCGGGCCGTTCTCGCCATGACAAGTGTGCTCTCATTTTCCAGGAGATCTCTGCTTACTACAAGGCCAACGATTCCGAGAACCGCCTTCCGAAACTGGTCCCTTCAATGTTGAGGGCAGAGGAACGTGGGAAAATGAAAGCTCCCAAACTTCGTGCAAAGGCAGGGGAGGCGAGAACACTTGTCCCCTGTGTCATGCAGATCGCAGACAAATTCTTGGACTCCTCTGTCCCGGCTCAGAACACGATGATTCATGCGAGCCGCCGCTTGAACAGCATGTACGAGTGTCTGAGCGAGCAACGATGGCTGCCAGACCTCTTCCAGCAAGCATCCCGCGAATTTTTGCTCCTGCTGGAGGGGTTGGAAAGTCATTTCCTGGACCTCAAGCTTTTTAGGGTTAAACCTAAAGCCCACCAGCTTTTTGAGTTGGGGTTGGACCGTGTGAATCCGACTAAGCATTGGACGTACCGTGACGAATCGTTCGGCCACAGCATGGCCCTTTTAGCACGCCGCAGAGGTGGCCGCTTTACCATGTCTGCAGTTTCTTGGCAAGTGCTAAAGCGTTTCACAGCTGGCAACCGACTGCCACGACTCGATGAGTGAAGAAAAGGCACAACTGGGACGTATGAGAACCCGCGCTGGTCAGAGTTTTTTACCAAAAATGTTTTTTATGGAATAAAGACTTTGATAATATTCGCTTTTTGGATGTATATCAAATTTCTACACACAGAAATTGTTAGATTCACGTCGGTATGTAAATATAGATATATATCACTATAGAAAAATGTTCCTAAATTAAGCAAGAATTTTGTCTTAATTAAGAAAGAAATCAGGGCCCCTTAATTAAGAGATGCATCCTTAAATTCAGAACGCAAAACAACTCTTAAACTTATTTAAGATGTTTTGGAGTCTCTGGGTGGTCATGAAGCCCTTCTGCGGCTGAACCAGAAGCGAGTCTCTCCCACAGTTAGCAAGGGTTTTTTTTTTTGAAAGCAGACGCCTCTTTACCAGATTAGTGGCGCCAGGACTGTGGAGGTCACTGGAGCTTCTCTGCCTTTTTGATCAATTTTTCCCTTATCTTGGGTTTCAGATTCTCAGTTTTTGGTGCAAGGCCGAAAGGAAGAGAAGGTGCAGAGTCAACATCGGTGGAAACTGCAGCTTGGAAAAGTTCAATGCTTTGAAACAAGTGTTTTTAAAAGCCTCTAACAGTGCCGTTTGGACAGAAATCAACTGTAGGACGAGACGAGTTCAACCGTGGTTGATTCGGTTGTGCGCAACGTCCAAGCCAAACCACTTGAAAAATTGCAAAAGTGTATTACCAGAATGTGAATAAGTGCGAGCAAAGCGAGCGAAACAACAGTAAATTTAACAAATTTGACTATCAAGTGTTGATTTTGAGGGTTTTTTTAAACATTTTTCGGACACTTCAGAAATTTTGAAAATTTATTGAATGGTGCTGATCCAGGAAAGAATTGCAACGTGCAACCAAAAACGACAGACAAAGAATTGAGGGCACCCAGTCTGAAAGAAAGCAAAGTTTCTTCTGCTCAATCTTCTGTTAAATTTTAGTGTCTTAAACAATGGAATGGAAATGAGGCTGGGCGACTCTCAAGTCGTTCTGGCCATAAATGAGAAGAGCTCAGTGTGATTGTTTTTTTAATGTTTGCAAGAACTGCAAAAACATTGGTTTTTCTTTTTTAACTTTGGAGAAATCGAGAAAACACTGGAAAGAAGCCAGAGTCATGAAACTTCGACAACTTTCTTTAGATTCAGCAGCAGATTTATGCACAGCAACACTTTCTTTTTTCTCTCAGTTTAAATTGCCTTTGTCCGTCTTCACAGAATTTTTCTTTTGCTTTTTGCTTAATGTTTTCTTTGTTTTTTGTTGGAATGATCTCTCGGTTAAGTTGCAAGCTGTAGTGCATGTCTTTGGCTTCAGTGTGCAAGGAAAGTTTCAGTGTGTGGGTAAAGGGTGGTAACGCATGGAGTCTCAGAAGTAACACCAAACAAAAAACAATGACCTTGCAAGTGTCTGTGTGTGTGTTTACCTTGTTTTTTCAATTGTGAATGGGTGTTTTGGTTTCGGCGTTTTGACAGTGTGTCCATGGAGTGTGGTGTGTGTTATTATGTGGGTGCAAAGTCGCTTTGGTGGGTGGTGTGCGTTTGCGTGTATGTTGGCTGGGTTCTGCTGGCTGTTCAAGTGTGGAAGTGTGTGGGTGGTAAAAGGTGTGTGGATTTGGAGACACAAAAAGAGGGCAAGAAATCAACTCCAAAAGGTAGGGAAGCCGAAGTGACCTCCACAGTGCGAGAAAGATCGCACGCGAACAATGCAAGAGTGTTTTGTCTTGAATGCCAGCTAAAGACAAGTTTAGCCAAGAACACGCGTATCGACGGCGTTTTTTGTTTTCTTGAGTGTTGATGCAAACAGTATCGAAAAAATCTTGTTTGTCTGTAAGTTGATTTCAATTATTATTGAACTCAAATGGGTTCCAAAAGCAGCTCAATTCTGGGCACCGAAAACGGGCCCTAGATTTTGGATTTCCTGTGTGAACTTCGTGAACATACAAGGCCACCCAGGTTGGAGCCTCAAATTGGAATCCAAGTTTAGGAGCCATTTTTGGGCCCAGTTGCGGCGTTGTTTTCACACACGGGAAGCCAGATCTGGCTTTCACAGCTCCTCGTTGCGAGTAAAACAAATAAGCCTCTCAGTCGGTTCCAGTCTAAGTCTTGTGTCAGTCTTCCCCCAAAATTAGAACAGCAGGCAGCAAGGCGGCAAAGTGTGAACTTGTTTGGCACCGGAACTTTCTCTAACTGTGGAGGTCACTGGAGCTTCCCTACCTTTTTAATCAATTTTGCTGCCCCTCATCTTGGGTTTCAGATTCTCCAGGTTTTGGTGCAAGGCCTGAAGGAAGAGGAGGGTGCAGAGTCAACATCGGTGGAAACTGCAGCTTGGAAAAGTTTAATGCTTTGAAACAAGTGTTTTTAAAAGCCTCTGACAGTGCCGTTTGGACAGAAATCAACTGCAGGACGAGACGAGTTCAACCGTGGTGTTGATTCGTTAAGGTTGCACGCGACGCCCAAGCCAAACCACTTGAAAATTGCAAAGTGTATTACCAGAATGTGAATAAGTGCGAGCGAAGCGAGCGAAACACCAGAGTAAATTCAACAAATTTGACTGATCAAGTGTTGATTTTGAGGGTTTTTTCAACATTTTCGGACACTTCAGAAATTGAAAAAATTTGTTGAATGGTGCTGATCCAGGGAAGAATTGCAACGTGCAACCAAAAACGACAGACAAAGAATTGAGGGCACCCAGCCTGAAAGAAAGCAGAGTTTCTTCTGCTCAATCTTCTGTCAAATTTCAGTGTGCCTTGAACAATGGAATGGAAATGAGGCTGAGCGACTCTCAAGTCGTTCTGGCCATAAATGAGAACAGCTTAGTGTGATTGTTTTTTTTTCAATGTTTGCAAGAACTGCAAAAACATTGGTTTTTCTTTTTTAACTTTGGAGAAATCGAGAAAACACTGGAAAGAAGCCAGAGTCATGAAACTTCGACAACTTTCTTCAGATTCAGCAGCAGATTTATGCACAGCAACACTTTCTTTTTTCTCTCAGTTTAAATTGCCTTTGCCCGTCTAAACAGAATTTTTCTTTTGCTTTTTGCTTAATGTTTTCTTTGTTTTTTGTCGGAATGATCTCTCGGTTAAGTTGCAAGCTGTAGAAAGAGAGATTTTCGAGAAACCGCCCTGAACCAAAACACAAACAGATCGTTCAGCAAGTGTTTTGGTAAGTGCTGTCAGCCCGGTAAGCTGTCGATTAACCAGAAAAAGTGCATGCGCAAGAGTGTTGTGGATGTGTGTGTGTGTGTGTGTGTAAGCATTTGTGGTTGCAAAGTGGGTTGGTTTGCGGGTGCATGTCTTTGGCTTCAGTGTGCAAGGAAAGTTTCAGTGTGTGGGTAAAGGGTGGTAACGCATGGAGTCTCAGAAGTAACACCAAACAAAAAAACAATGACCTTGCAAGTGTCTGTGTGTGTTTACCTCGTTTTTTCAATTGTGAATGGGTGTGTTGTGGTTTCGGCGTTTTGACAGTGTGTCATGGAGTGTGGTGTGTGTTATTATGTGGGTGCAAAGTGGCTTTGGTGGGTGGTGTGCGTTTGCGTGTATGTTGGCTGGGTTCTGCTGGCTGTTCAAGTGTGGAAGTGTGTGGGTGGTAAAAGGTGTGTGGATTTGGAGACACAAAAAGAGGGCAAGAAATCAACTCCAAAAGGTAGGGAAGCCGAAGTGACCTCCACAGTAGGTCGGTCTTGTCGGTCTCGCAACCAAGTTGAAACGAGTCGCCGAAAGAAACAACAGAACCAAAGAGAAGAAACATTGAAGGCTTCAAAGGTGAAAGCGCGAAGAGGCTTTGAACGCTTTGAAGACAACAAGCAAAAGCTTCGAAGGTGAAGACGAAGGGGGCTTCGAAGGCTTCGAAGGGGGGCTTCGAAAGCTTCGAAGGGTGAGAACGAAGGAGCTTTTCGAAGGCTTCAAAAGTGACGACGAAGAGCTGATGAGGTGCCCGCGAGGGTGTTTGAGCAGAATCGGGGTGGCCCTCCCTGTGCCTCCGCAACCGTACTCCGGCGTCAGACCTTCAGAGTCCAAGTGCGCTACTTGGCGGAGTGTTTCCCTGCTTGAACGCCTGAGCGAGGTGTTTCGAAGGCATTGAAGATGAGCAGGAGGGATTGCCCCACCTGACCTGGAGCTGGCGCATCCTGCGCAAATGCAGCTACGGAAAAGAGCGCTCGAGTGGCAGTTGGGATTGGCAGTCTTCCCCGTTCCTCGGCGCTGATTCCACCAGGAACCAGCGAAGGGTGCTGCAGCCTGCTGTGGTTGGCGGTCCGGGACCCAGTCAATCCCTCACCCCTTCTTGGTTAAGAAAAACCGCCTTCCTCGATGGAAGGGACATGATGGGTTTCTGTACCTTGTGACACCACTTGATGGACGCTCTGCGTTCCTGGTAGTGGTTGCTGCTGCCAATATCTGCAGTGTCCACTTTGTCCTTTTGCAAGGCGCACGTGGGTTCTTGTCGACCGGCAATACTCCCTAGTTCTCGCAGAAGCTGAAAGCAAGACACGAACCAGTGCCTCCGCTTACTTGAATAAGCATGCAGTTGACGCTGCGCATTGAGAGCCTTAACCAACCCACAGGGCGTGTGAAAAGTGCGACTGCACTGACGATCAAGGCTGACAATTTTGGTGTCGAAGTGCGTCCTTCTGAAACATTGGCTTTTATCTTGCTCGTGCCCATGGTTTGGCCCACTTCCCATCTCAGTCGGTCCCCTCCCTCCCTTTGGGGGAGAGAGTTTTCACTTCTTGCTTCTGTGTGCGTTTCTTTCCGCTGGCAATTGCGTTTTCCTGAGGTTGCGGCCTGTCGATGCCACCTCACACGCAGTCTTCCAGATGTATGATCCACCCTTGAGTCAGCCTGGGTTTGCGTTGCACCTTTGCTGTCCTTGGATGATTATGCCATTTGCCAGCCTTTTGCATGCATGCCTCTGCCCTTTATGCACCCGCCTGTGAATTCGCCCCCAAGCTGAGGGAACTGTGCTTTTTCGACCAAGCATTC